TAAGTACACGTTAACTCACTACCCTGTCTTGAAAATTGTTCATCAGTCACTACCTTTCATTGTCACAACTAACGCAAGTCAGTATGGAATTGGGCCGGTGCTACAACGGGACGATGGAAAGGGCTATAGACCAGTTAAATTCATGTCGAAGCGCTTGCCATCAGACAAAGTGGCTAACTCCACATATGAAAAGGAATTGTATGCCCTAGTTGAAGCTCTGAACACTTGGAAGCACTACTTGCTCAGCAAACACTTCACTGTCTACTTGGATCACTCGACTTTGAAGTGGATTAAAACACGACCTCAGTTGTCTGACAAGTTAGTACGATGGTCAGTGTTCATCGACACTTAGACAAAAGCGGTTAGCAGGGACCCCAACCCTGGTTAACCCCCTCAACCTTGAAAAGTGCATTGGAGATCATTTTTTTAGTTTTTTCTGTTTTTTTTTCTTTTGCCCTGTTTTTTTTTTGGTCAAGGTCTGTGTGTGCTAAGTTTGGTGTTTGTTGGGGTCTTGGAGTTGACTGTTTTGGCTAGCCCTGAAAAATCCTGAAAATCCTGAAAACTGAAAAGAGTGAATTTTGCATGAAAACACACTTTTGTTGGGGTCTTAAAGTTTTTTTTTTCAATTTTTTTTTGGCAAGTAGTTAGTATGATCTCCACTCTATCAATTGGTGGCAAGTTTGGTTAAAATGACCTTTGGGTTTTATTATAAATAGCCTGACAAGTGGTCTGGAAATTGAGGCCTCCGTTAACCGTCTCTCACTGAGCTAAAGAACAAGATTTGCAATGGGTAATGTTGAGCAGCGCTTTGGTTTCAAGAAGACGTTTGCTAATAGACATGAGCTTTTCGAGTGGCAAGGAATGAGAACTTGTCATGTATGCAGGAGAAACAAGAAACCTCATGCTCAGACCACTCCCTATTCGAAATAAACTAGGTGAGTCCATCTCCATTGATTTTATGAGTCTCACCAAGAGTCGGGACGGGAACAGTCGGGTAATAGTTATGGTGGATAGGCTCTCTAAATATGCAATGTTTATTCCTTTACCCTCTGAAGCCGGAACGAAACTCGTCAAACAGAAGTTCCAAATGCGTTGGGTTTCCAATACAGATTTCCGAAAAACATTGTATCTGATCACGAAGTACGGTTCACGGGCCAGCAATAGCATAAGTTATGGAAGTCTATGGCACTAGACTGACCATGTTGTCAGGTAGACATCCTGAAATGAATGGCTAAACTGAACAAATGAACGCGTGTGCCAACAACTTCTGCGCATGTACATTAGACCCGACCAGATTGAGTGGGATGAGAACTTACCTAAGATTGCGGGTGCATATAACAACAATGTAGACTCTGTCACGGGTAGGACACCCAATGCATTGCACAATGGTTGGAAGCTAAGACGGCCTATTGGTGCTTTGACCAGGGAACAAGTCCAACGGCTACCCCAAAGTCAAGGAGAATATGCGGAAGGCCCAAGTCCAAATGATTGAACAAGCGAACAAAAAAAAAAAAAACACCGTGAACCGTCTCAGTTCAAAGAAGTTGACTTGGTGTGGGTAAAGTCGAGCGAATTCTCCTTTGAGGAAGGAGTATTTTGGAATTACTGCCTGTCAATATCGACCCTGGGAAGCTCTCAAGGTGGTAGGGGATACAGACGGACCGTCATATCCCATTGACGTACTCCCACATCTAAAGACGTACCCTGTCTTTCATGCGTCTAAACTGCTAGGCCCAAAGGTCAAAGTCAACCCGCTGGTCAGCCACGACCGTTGATCAGATGCACATCATTGGTTGTCTGCAGGTATCCAGAAGAATCCCATCCAAGTGGGACACATGGGAAATCTGCAATTGCACAGCATCCAAGCCATTGGCTTCCGATTGATCAGGGCTGTCGACCCCCGGAGACCAGAGGCTGGTCAATGTGAGTCAACACTATAAAGTTGAACTAGCCCCTACTTGGAGAAGCATTCAGCCTTGCGCTGGCTTGACGCTAGCACGACATTGCGAGGCTGCAGAGAGATTATGCTGGCGCCAGCTTTGCTCTTCGAGCGCCAGCTCAAGAGGGAAGAGTCTGCTTGAGCGACCAGCGCCGCCACAGATTCAGACACTGCTAAGAGAGCGGTGGAGGAGGAGGATAACGGTTGTCAGATTGGTGTATGCGATGAGGGGAAGCTTACCTGGACAACGGCCTGGTGTCAGGGGCACCCAGGGAAAGGTCAAAACTGGCCTCCACTTGGAGAGCATTCAGTTGACTCTGAGAAAGTCAAAGGTCAACCCCAAAATGGAAATCCTGGCCCAAAGGTCAAAGGCAACCTGCTGGTCAGCCACTGCTGTCAATCAGATGCAAATCATTGGTTGTCTGCAGGTATGCAGAAGATTCCAGTCAAAGTGGGACACATGGGAAATCTGCACTGCACAGCATCTAGGCCAAATGCTTCCAATTGATGTGGGCCGTCGACCCCAGGAGACGACAGGCTGGTCAACGTGAGTCACGACTATAAAGTTAACCCAGCCTCTGTTTGGAGAGCATTTGGCCTTGTGCTGGCTTGACGCTCGCACGACATTGCGAGGCTGCGGGGAGATTATAATGGCACCAGCTTTGCTCTTCGGGCGCCAGTTTCAGAGGGAAGAGTCTGCTTGAGCGGCCATCGCCGCCACAGATTCAGACACTGATAGGAGAGTGGGCGCGGAGGAGGAGATCAGGGCTGTGAGATTGCTGTATACGATGAGGGGAAGCTTACCTGGAGTTACCTGTGACGTCATGTTTCATATGCTGCTCGTCTCCAAGTAGATGAAGAAGATCTGCGCCATCCTCCCTGATTGGTGCTGATGTGGATGGTGGATGGGTGCCCCGTTGTGACCTGCTCATTGTATATGTCAGAGATCGTCAGAGGAGAACTGAATTGTCAAGGTGGCGAGAGAGGGAGATTCCCGAGGAGGAAGTGCGCATGAGGAGGGAACTATTGCTTTACTGATTCTCGTGGGAACTCTCCTCCTCCTCCTCTCTGTCTTATCTCCTCCTCTCCTCACTCTCTTCTCTGGGGTATGGGATATTGGGAGATTGCACGTACTTCGGGCAAGGACACATAAATGATTTTCGGAGACATTGTTTTGGCGCTGAGTCAGACTTGTATGACGACACTGATTGGCTTCTCATCTGACCGAATTAATCGCACAATAAGATCAGTACCAATATAGCCAATTTTGCTGCAGGTTGTGTAGATAGATGGATCTACATTCTCAATTCAGGGCTGGCATCTATAATTGTATTTCCTCTTTGATTTGGAGTGATGATATCTTCTCTGGTTTCAAGTAGAATGGCTTCTGGTCATCTTACATCAGGTTCCGGGTCAGATATTGCACTCCAATGGGATGGCGCACCCGTTTTCCAGCTCAGCCCTTGTTCTATTTTCAATCTGAAGCCAGGTAATGGCCCCAGTAATCTCATTGTATCTTAATTTGATAATTGAAGCCTTGGGCACCCGGCCTGTTGATCAAAACAAGAGAGCGAAAAAAAAAGGGTGCCTCACCTGCTGCTCAGTGACTGGATGGTACAGACACAAG